TTGTGGTTCCTTCAAGGAACACAGGGGCCACCTCAACATGTATGGTAGAGGATAAGTGAGATCCTTCTAGATCTGAAATCCCACAACTCTGCCAAGTCCTCACCTCAGCAGTGACAAGTTCCAAGTTCCTCCTCAGGTACATGGAACAAGACTGCCAATAGGCAATGGTTTGTCTCTGTGAAACAAAGGGGAGGTAAGGCAAAGTGGAGAGATGCTCAGGTTTAGAAGAAGAGAACTGTTAGCTAGCTGGAAAAGGTAACTTAACGTCTCTACTTTTAAGAGATATCTACTTTCCCCAAAGAGTTTTAACCATTGTAATGTGAAGGCCATTTTAAATGACAAGAGCCACCCTGTGTTAACCTCCAATGAACCCTTGAGTGGCCTACAATCAAAGTCAAATATCAACCAATCAGAATTGCCAGGTTTCAATCCCTCATTTACATGGTGGAAATGAACATCAAGCAATCAAAACTGCCATGTTTCAATCCCTCATTTGTATAGTGGGAACCGAAAAGAGGCCAGCTCCCATATGAAAACAACCTCAAACAGCTGGTTTGGGGCAGATAGCTCTTCTGTCACTGTCCTGCCCACTGCTTCCTTGCAGTGTATGCAATAAATCTGTCTTTTGTAACTCTAATCTGACTTGGGTAAATTCTTTTTCTTTTTTTTAATCAACATTTTTTATTATGATATTGTGGGGTACAGTTAAGGGTTAGGCATACAAATATGCTTCGTTCAGGCACCCTTGTTGATAAGAGGTGTCTCCCTCTCCCCAGACAGATATTTACTACCGTTAATCCGTTAATCCCATGACTCTGACCAACTGGTCACTACCCATGACAGCCTGGTTTTTGTTTGTTTGTTGAATAAACATAGAAACTGATCCTCCCAGGATTAAAACTTAAAATTTACTTTTACCTTTTCTGAGTTCCCTCCTCAGAAGACTGACCCTCAGGCTAGGGCCTGAAATTCACCAGATCATTGCACCCAGACAATGAGTCCCAGACCTTTCACTCAATAAGATTGCTTCCTTACCCTTCCCTGATCACTGTTTTGCATTCCTCCTCCCATTATATAAATCCCCAATTTCAACCGGTTGTGGAGACAGATTTGGAAAACAATCTCCTCCTTGGTGGTATCACCTAATTAAAAGCCTTCTTCCCTGACAATACCCTTTGTCTCAGTGATCGGCATTCTGTGCAGTGAGCAACAGGACCTTGATTGAACCCCTGTAATTCTGGTAACACTCACCACAGTTCTCCCAACTCTGAAACAGTTGTGGGTCCTGGGTTAGAAAGAGGCATTTCTGAAACCTAAGACAGGTAGAGCATCCCAGCAGTAAAAAAGACCTGTGTTTTGCTACCAGTATGAAAGTCAATATGAGGCAAGTCTCTACACATATTCTCTGCATAGACTAGAACTGGCTTCCAGAAAGATCAATGGAAAGAAAGCTTGAGATAACAACCTTAGCACAGTCTTTCTTGATGCCAGGAAACCATAGAAGAGAATCATCAAGCTTTCTGTGTCCCTGAACAAGTCCAAGGAGGGCCTGTGAGAGAACTAGTAAACCTAGAAGAGTCTAACAGAGAAGAAAGAAGACTCATTATGACCAAAATGGACATAGTGAGCAGAGGTCATGGGTAAGATCTCACACCTCTCACTGGATGCAGCAAGGATGAACACTGCTGGTCAACTAACTGAAGATGGAAAGTACTCCATCTAGGTAGACAAATTCCAACGAATGAGAGGGAACACCAGGAAATGCCTCCCATCAATATTGAAGCTGATAACCCTCCAACCACCTCTATTTGCTAGAATTCAGATAAAGCCCTGGATTAACAGAATTTACCTAGAAGTGACTTCATACGTGTTTTTATCACATATGCAGCTAAGGTTCTAAATAGAGGTAAGGTTGAAAGTAAAATATCAACAACATTACTAATAATATTGCCACATTTTTGACACACCTACATTTATGAGACCATGAAATGTCATTTCTGCAACAGGCACAGAAACAAGACTGTACCTGCCATGGTTCAGAACCATGATGTATCTCAGAGGCAGAGACTGCCTGTAGGCACCATGCCCACTGCCAGTGGCTTCTGGAAGGGGTCACTGACAGGTAAGAGGGGGATGGACTGCATGTTCAGCTCTTCTTCCTCTCTTTCTCCTCCAAAGCAAAGCTGCCAACTGAAAGTTGCCTTTCATTTCACCTCTGATGGCTCCCCTACCCTCGTCCTCTCCTCTTCATTTCAACTGCCACAACCTCATTTCAGCCCTCATTGCCTGTCAAACTATTGTGAAAGCCCCATGAAAAGAGTTGTCAAATCAAAGGAAAAGGTCAGCTTTCCCTTGATCGATTCTGACCAGGTAAAACATTATTAATTTAAAGGTTTCATTTCACATAATGACCCTGGAGATTTATCAATGTCCTCACTACCAAGAATATGTTCATATCCTCCAGGGAAACACTGATCAAATCCACATTAAATAGTTAAACATTATGCCCTAATAGGGAATTATTTTCTCCTCCATTAGGATACTGTTGGGTACTGTCATAAATAACTAGAGCCATTCAGTCTTATCACCAACAGGTACTTTCTACCTTCCCTATGCTTATGTGAAAACTCTACTGTATCACGGCTTAGAAATTGAGTCTTTAACAAAGAAGGACACTCTAGAACTTCATGGAAAGAGTTGTACCACATTTGAAGTACTAATACTTCAAGTAGCAGACTCATTGGTACAGGTTTTCAAAATGATATTTTTAAAAATTTTATTTTAAAGATGTGGGGTACAATTCAGGATTAGGTACATAAGTGGTTATTGTACAGGTGAAGCTTGGGTCTCCCTTTGGCCCCCACTTCGTCTGGTTTGGGATCAGGCACCTTTATTGATGTTTTGTGTCCTCCCCCTCCCCTGGCAGTGTTCCTCACTGACAATCCCTTTCTTATAGTATTATGATAAATGGTCAGGGTCTGTTTATGAGTGAGAACATGTGGTACTCAGTTCTTTGTTTCTGTGATATTTCTTAGACAATTTCCAAAGGCATTAGGGAACCGAGTGAGGATTTTCAGGTCAGTCTTCTGTCTAGAGGCAGATGACTTCACAAGAGCAAACTGTTGACCTGAGGTCTAGTAAAACAAAAATAATTATATAGGACTGAAGGAACTGATGAGAAAATATAATTTTGGTTGTTTTGAAATAGAGTTGGTGTTATTTTTAATATTCTCTTTTCTGATATGATAAAGTTCTTTCTCCTCTTGATCTCTCTCTCAGTGTAACTTAGTATCCTATGCTTCTGTAAACATTTTTAAATGAAACATTTTTAAATTCTAATCTTGTTCTCACTGAGCTTTCAGAATTCAGGAATAATACTTTTTCTGAATCTCTTTACTTTTAATGGCAATGTAGTTACTTGTATAGGTTCAGTAAGAATTTGTTCTAATTTTTACCAGTAAATAATTGAACAAATACATGGCACAGTCAAAGCCAGACCTAAAGTGTAATATTTGGAAGTGAATCTTATTTATTCATGTATGAAGATCACATTAAGAAACAAAGGTCGCCCTTCATTTGGAGAAGTAAAAGCCCTCCCAGAAAACTGATCTGTTACCTTATCATGGCAAGTCGGGAAGTCTTAGCAGATTTGGAGGTACTTGAGGAGAGATACATTCACCCCCATTTACAGATGCTACAGGCAAAACAATAGCAATGAATTTCTTCATTTGGTTTTCTAATCTCAGAATAGGAGATCAAATAAAAAGCAATAACAATATACCTGGAATAATGGAGGCTTCTGAAACTCCCTAAAAAGATTCTTTAAAAATCTCCAGACAGAAGTTAATTTTCTGAACTAGGTAGTTGCTTAACATCACATGGCTTTGGATTTTCAGTACAGACTACAAGGAGGTTTATATGTATTAGTTAAACTTTTTTTACTGCATTTATATATAAAGGAGTCAGGCTCAAATGGAATGAGATCAGCTTTTTGGAAATCAAGATTAATCTTTGGAGATTATTTGTGATCACAGTGCTTCATGGTTTACAATGTCCTTTCCCACCCGCCATTAACTCTCCCTAAAGAGCCTTTAAACACAGTATTTCTGAAATCACCATGAACAAACTTAAACTTAAAACCTTCATCCATTGTCCTGGAATGGATAATATGGCTTATAAAAAGGCAAATGGATAAACACTCACATCCTGTTTATTCTCCACTATTACAATGACTTGAGGCTTTAGAAGATACATGTACACACACGCACATACTCACACACATAGACATGCAACATTTTCCATGGAATAGCCAACTACAACTGAGAATGCCCAATTCTATAGAAGGCAAATTCAAACATCTACCTTGGGTCTCACTGAGGAAGGCTCAAAGAGGGACTGAGATCAGTGGGACAACATTACTTTCTCCATCATGAAAACATCCAAATAAGCCCAGCCTTTCCTGTCCCTCTCAGCCATGGAAGAAAACAGCTACCCTGGGGAGACATTCTCTTTCATCTGTCCCCTGGCTCTGTGCTGCATTACAAGCAGAATATATTAAAAACGGAGTGCTTTGGGGGAGAATCCTCTCCACTGCTGTGACATCTCTGCAGCCTCTGTTTTGATATTTGGCCTTGAGAAGTTCAAAGTATTTGAAAGATTAGAGTTCAAGAAAGACCAAGATGCACCGCAGGGCAGGTCTTGGTCTTAGATGCTAGAAAACCTGCTCCTCCCACACCATAGCCGATTTGACCTCTAAAAGAACCTAGTGCATATCTTGGTCTAACCGAATTATTTTCAAAGACTCCCAGCTCTTCTTTTGCTTTTTAATGGTAGCTGAAGGCAATTTGGTTTAGGGTCCCTAAACAAGCAGGAATACTTGCTTGCTGATTCTGCCCATTTCCCCAGGCTGTTCCTGGCACCTGGGACAGAGCTTGACCATACCAATCTTCCTTGACCACCCATGTCTCCTGTTTGGGGAGTCTCCTAAAATCCCCACTCACCATTCTTTTCTGCCTTGTGTTTTGGTGGCTCAGGTTCCGGGAGACATGGACAGGGCCCATCACAGAGGGTGGTGAGGCTTTTGCCGGTAGAACAAGCGTGGAACTCCAACTTGCACTGCAAAAGAGACACACAACAGGCCATAAGAATGCAGTCACAACAGACCCTACTCATTTCCTCAGGAAACAGCCAATGCTCTTCGCTTCATGGAAGCAAAGACAGAAGAGGAAGAGGTTCATCTCAGTTAAAGGTCTGAACTACAGAATACTGAATAAGAAATGGCCTTTTATGTTCTTTCAAATGCACAGGAAAACATCTAAAAATACCATGGAAGCCCTAGAAGACTTATTTTAATGAATGGTAAACTCAACTGTCACTATTTATAAAATCATTAATATGAAACTTAACAGCTATGGAGTCCTACATGATCCACAAAGACCTCTCCCTTCACTGGGAAGGCTTCCACACATTTCCTCACCCATGGAGGCAGCTCTGCTTGTACATCATTCCTAGTCCTTCTTGGCCTGCTCACAGACTCTGCCTGGGAAGGAAAAGCAGAAAAGCACTAAATCCCTTTAGTGGGTCTGGAAGGCCACCTGAGGCTCAGCCTCTTTCCCTTGGGAGCAACCAGGAGTGAAAGCTTGTGCTTCTCTCATCTAAAACCTAAGTTTACAGCAGGTCTTTCTCCCACAGGAGGATACCTGTGGTCTAATTAGCCTGTGACTCAATAGAAATGTCTACTTAATTTCAGGATATAATATTAGAAGTCCATAAGCCACATCCCCTTCTCAAGCCTTTTGGTAATGGTGACAATGGTAATATTTTGGTCATTTTCTGCCAACTCTTTACTCTTAAGTCACAATAGATTCAGAACCACAAGCAGGAGGGAGGGGTGTTATTTATAGGTGAAAAGGCCACAATAAGTACTCATGTATTTATTATTCCTACATTTTGGAAGAAGAAACTGAGACTTAGGTTAAATAAATTGCAAAAGATAGGTCACAAAGCTTATTCACACCCATGTCTGATTTCAGTTCCACAACACTGTTTCTCATATGTGTACGGGCTTCAGAGCATAGACATCCCATACTGAACTGTGTGTGGCTAATTATGCAGCTTTGCTATTGGCCCAGAACTGAGTTGCCTGAGAGTTTACTCCCTTTTTACCTATAAAATTCTCAAGATCAAGGCCTGTGTGTAATCAGTCCTCTGCACAGCCCACGGGCCCAGGACCGCGTGCATATCTGGTGGAGGTTCAAAGGAAGAAGAGATAGGTGAAATTTACTGAGCACCCACTGTGCATGCAGCTCTTATCAGGTGCCATGGGGAATCTTTTAAATGAAAGAAAAGAGGAGATACAGTCCTTGCCCTTGGAAAACACAAATGCATACCTTTGAAAAAAAGTCTACCAGCATTTGCAAAGCCACACACATGAGTGCAGATAAATACTGGCTCATTGTGAGAGAACGAGCTATTCAGTTCCCATACTGATTACTAACTGAGGGAGAGTACTTTCAACTTGGTTCTGAATGTACCGGAGTCACTCCTGTGTCACTCCAGTGATCACCCATACAGCTGGCTGCCCTTGTGGGGAGAGAGCCACAGAGCAAACTTACAGAGTGCTGGTTTTCTCTTAATGCAAAACTCCCTTCTGTGTGCATCTGTTAAGTGTCTAGTATGTGCCCAGTGTGGCAGCAGGAGTTGTGAGGTCTGGTGAAAAAGAAGCCATGGCCCATGCCTCAAACATCAACTGACTTAATGGTAAAGCAAAAAAAGAATGTGTCCTTCTGAAGCTATGTGGACCTGTGAGGTGAGGTGGGATACATGTCTATGTAGGGAAAAAAGAGGCCTGCAGGTAGGGGATGTGCCCTACAGATAGCCCACGTGGACTGAGATTCTGGCTTAGAGGAATGCCAGAAGGTGGCAGGCATGTTACCAGCATGAAGAGCTTCCTTTCACTTAGCACAGCATATGTGCATGTGTCCACAGCTATACTGAGGCCACTGTGGCCAGGCCACTGCCTCCTTCTCTGCTTCTGGGCTAGTTCTCTGCAACAATCCTCAGATCCAGACTGGTGGCTCTCCTCAATTTTTTTTTTTTTTTTTTTTTTTTTTGAGTAGGGTGTCTCACTTTGTCACCAAGGCTAGAGTGCAGTGGCATGATCACCGTTCACTGCAGCCTTAATCCCCTGAGGCTCAGGCGATCTTTCCACCTCAGCCTTCCAAATAGCTGGGACTACAGGCATGTGCCACTATGCCCAGCTAAATTTTTTAAATTTTTGTAGAGACATGGTCTTGCTATGTTCCCTAGGCTGGTTTGGAACTCGTGGGTTCAAGCAATCCTCCTGCCTCAGTCCCCCAGAGTGCTGGAATTACACTTATGAGCCATTGCACCAAGCAAAGTATTTTCTTAATAGAATTTTTGAAGCAAATTTAGGGTAAAAATATAGTTTCATGTGTAAATTTATATAAAGTCAAGATTATTAACTTTATTTACTGTAAGGCCTTATCATACTGTTACTGTCACTGCCTGTTTTTATCTGTGATAGGCTATACGAATTTTCCCACACAGTCTCTGCTCTCCCCAAGAAAGGAAACTGCTCTTCTGCCCAGAGTCCTGTTTTCTTTTTTTTTTCTTATAAAGATGTGGGGTACATACAGCCCTGTTTCTTGTGGCAGAGCACCTCCCTGTGAGAGGGCAGACTTCCCTGCCCAGGTAACACCAACCCTGATCACATGACTCACTCTGACCAGTGGGTTGTTAGCAGGAGCGATGCAAGCCAGGTTTAGCAGATATGTTAAGAATCACTGATTGGTTCCATCCCTTCTCTCACTCTTCCTTTTCCCATGAAAATGACATGCCAGATAAAGGCGGCCCTTTCTGCCTGGGACCCATAGGCAGAGAACAGGGGGCAGCACTGAAACAAACAGTTAGCAAGCAACATAAACATGGAAATTAAGGTTTGCTATTGTAAGCCACTGATGTTTGGGGATCATTCACTACTACAGAATAACAGCTAAAGCTGACAAATAGAATGAATGACTTCCTAGTAGACCATGAAGTGCCTGACAGCGGTAAAGGTCTTAGTCACTGTTTTGTCCCATGCATGATATGACACACACTAGCTCTGGCATAGAATAGGTGATCAATGAATAGCTGCTGAAAGAAAGGGCAGAAGGAAAGGTGACACCGTCCCCTCTGCTGCTCTAAACCTCAGGTCTAGCACTAGGTATTTACCGATCTATCTACATGAGAAACGAAGGTTGCTGGAGCTCCATATTTGAGATGTTTCTCCTGAACCATCCTTCACCCACATCTGCTCCATGAGTCCTCCCTTTGAGCTCCACACCCTGCCTCTCAGCACTCTGCCTCTCAGCCTCCCTGCTCAACCAGACTCACTGGAATTGGAGCCTAGTCTAGTTGCTTCGAGGATGTCCAGAATACCTGCTCCCTAGGTCGTCTGGCCATGACTAGGAGCCCCTGTGGACTGTAATTCCTGGAGCTTCGCTTCCCTGGTTGGGCTGCAGAGTCTCCTCTCCCGTCCAGCCTCAGGTGGCAAACTGTAGAGGCAGCTCAGCCTCTTTTCTGGCTACACAGAGGCACCACCAGAGAAAACAGTACTTATCTTCACCAGTGAAAATCCAAGTCTTAAGGGAACAGATCTGCTTTTTATCTTCCAGGAAAATATGTGGTATTTAAATAAAGTTCAAAAGGCTATAATTCTATTTTTTATAAAGCTTAAAAAAGGCTATTTGGAGATACATACATATGTGGTGAAAAAGGCACCTTTAAAAGCGGGGGAGGAGGAGAGGTGAAAACAATGGCAAATATTATCAAGACAGGAGTCATCTCCCTGGGGGAGGCAGCAGGACTGGTCAGCCAGGAGCCCACAGGCCACAATCACAAAAATTAGTAGTGTTTTATTCCACAAGGTAAGTGCTAGATTTTGAGGTTTTTGTTTTGTTACTAGGCTGACAACTTCTGTAAAAAATACATATTTTTACATATAGAATACTTTATGATAAAATATAAAACAATGTGTGCAGGTTCCTATGGAATTAACAACCAAGCTAGAGTCACACCTCCCGGAAAACTCTATGAGTGATCAGGGCACATGTGGGGAACCCTCTGGGAAGGGTTGAAAGCGTGAAGCTCCTTACCTGAGCCTCAAATCCTCTTGGCCAGAGGTCTCCCGTGAATGTTCCCTTCCCACAGCACCTCTCTAGTTCTCACCCTTGAGGTGGCCCTCTCAATCACTTTCCATCATTTTCTCTAGATGCCAGAAGCCAGTCACCATTCCAGCTTTACTCAGAGGAGCCAGGTAACTCTCTAAGTACAAGGCATCCTGCTAAGCAGGGCTGCTCAACCCTGGTCGGTTCCTTGATTTTGGACTTCAGCCTCCAATGAGACAGTAAATCTCTGTTATTTAATGCACCCAGTTTGTGACACTTTGTAATAGCAGCCCTAGCCAACTAATATCCAGAATTTTTTTTTTTTTTTTTTTTTTTGAATTGGAGTCTCACTCTGTTGCCCAGAACTACCATAGCCCCCACCTGCTGGGCTCAGGTGAACCTTCTGCCTCAGCCTTCCAAGTAGCTGGAACTACAAGTGTATGCCACCATGCCCAGCTAATTTTTTTATTTATTAGAGACGAGGCCTCACCAAGTTGCCTAGACTGGTCTCGAACCCCTGGACTCAGGCAATCCTCTTGCCTCTGCCTCCCAAAGTGCTGGGATTACAGGCATGAGCCACTGTGCCTGGCCCATCCAGATTTCATAAAAGAGATAGGCAAGCAGGAATGAAGACATTTGGTCTTTAGTTTGTAAAGCACAGATCTTTGTGTCAAGATGGCTCTGTTCTACTGTAAAGAAAAAAACAAAAAACAAACAAAAAAAACCCGCATAGAACAGTAGCCTCAGGATATGGGCAGCTGGACCTAAAGAATTTGGCCGAGTTGTATGAGTTGAGTGTGACGCATGCCCAGAAAAGAGAAAATATGAAAAATTCAAGTCTTTGTATTGATTTTGTGATGAAGCAGTCAAATAAATAATTAACTCTAACTCTCTAAAGGAGAAGAGTTGAAAAACTGAGAAATAAGGACTTTTAAGCATTGTCCT